GCGGCGACCCGTCAGCATCCTTGCTGGCATCCTGATTGCTCAATTAATATCTATCAGTTTTGGTTGGCCATTCCATTCGATTCGATTCGATTCGATTTGGCTGGCCGTCGTCGTTTAGCAGATGTTTTTGAATTATTAAAGCGAACCTTTGCCCAATCAATAAATGTGCGGGGGAATGTCCTGTTTGGAATGTCCTTCTGCCTTTTCTGCCTCCCGCCAAAGGATATTTGCATGGGAATGCCGCCCTGGGTTGTGTCTGAATCAATCGTGGTCTAATTAACTGGCTAACTGAGTGCTTTCCTCCTGCTTTCCTTCTGCTTTCCTCCACTTTCTCAGTCTTTTCTCCGGCGCATTGCAGATTGCCTTTCCACCGCGGGCCTTCCCTTTGTTTCTTCGCTCGATTTATGTGTTTAACAACAGCAAAAACAACAATAATAATAACAACAAATGCCAAGGAACACAAAGCAAATAAGAAGCAAGAAGAAGCTGCAAAGTAGCTGCTCGCCAATTGCTCATTTCAACGTAATTCGAGTTTAGAGCAACAAAGGGCTCGTAAAATATTGCAGCAGCCAGCTAAAAAACAACAACAATAACAACAACAATGTGCCAAGTGAAATAAAAGTTTTTTGGCGTTAAGAAGGAATTTCGAGCGAAAGCCAAAAAGGATTTGCGCCCAAGTCAATAAACCAAAAGTTGGTGGAATGCTAAAAAGGACTTCGAGGAGTCGGCCGTTTTTGTTTTTTTTTGTTGTTGAGGGAATGAAACCCATCACTTGGTTTTTGAGCTGGTCTGTGGGTATTGACCTTTCTACCATCTACCTGCCTAATTACTGCCCTTGGTAAATATATAAAATTAACTGGCTAATGATATTTATTTTGAGATAAAGAGAAGGAAAGAGGTCATATTATTAACGCGGCTGTGAAGAGCCACGTCCGCCGGACACCTTTAAACCTTTTTTTCCCGGAGGGAAAAAAAAAAAAAAAAAACTCTTCGTGGGCCCAGATGTGCGTTCCATTAGCCCAGAACTTGGCCAAAAATTTAATATCCATTTGTGTGCTGTGTTTTGTATACTGTGTGCTGTGCTGTGTGGGAAAATCCAAAGCATTTGCCATAATTATCTCGCCCTTCCTGCCAGGAGTGCGTGTCCCTAAGCCGCCTGCCAGGAGCTCGGTGTGTCCAGCTTCTGGTTGCTGGTTCCTTTCCCTTCCCAGATCCCAGATCCCGGATCCTGGATCCTGGCTCCTAATGCTTATTGTAATGCTGAGCATAAGCAGAAGGGGGCGCAGCTGTCACGCCCCCACAGCTGGGACACAACAAAATACGGCATGCGGGAACTCAAAACAAAACAAAAAAAACAAAAAAAAAAACAAAACAAAACAAAACACACACAGACAACAGTCGCAATTGAATCCCGGTATGGCTTATCCTCCGTCGAAGGAGCGCGACCTTCGTTCCTGGGCTTTTTCCCGCCACCGGGATGGTCCACTGGGTCATCCTTAATTCTTAATGCCGACTAGAGTCTAATTATGGTCGCGTGCCCGCCGAAGTCTTTCCTGTTTTACTTTCACGAATCGGTTGAGGCATTTCTCACTTGCCATATCCTTTTAATGATCTTACAACTTTGGGCTGAATGCAAATTTGAAGTATTTTTTTAACATAAATAAAAATCAAAAATGTGCAGTATTCTTGAATTACGAATTGAGTGTCATTAATTTGTAAGTAATATTAAGTAGACCAAAGAAATTTACCAACGACTTAAGGGGAAAAAAAGCTAAGAAATTTGTTTATTTAATTTGTTAACTATTGTATTGTAGATTTATAGGTTTTCCTTTACACTTTAAGATTTTTTTAAAAATTTTTAGTTGAGATAATTTTCTAACACAGCTTAGTAAAGCCTTTAAAGGAGTTTGGAACTCCAACTATTTTTAGACACTTTGAGAATCCCTTTACACGTGACTGGAACTCGCTTTGAGTACCTGTGTGTCTCCCCGTGTCCTTTCCTTTTTTTCATGGGAAGTCCTGCGAACTTTGGGGGCTTTGTGGATGTTGTCAATCGGGCGGAACATTCAGCTTTGACATGACTCACGCCATAAACTTTTTTGCGCCGGCGAGGAGCAATCAATTTACAAATGGCAAACTCCGGGCGCCTCGTTTATTACAGGTTTTTGTGTCCTCGGACTATTACAGCGAAACTTAAGGCGGGACGGCATCCCGGAGTGTTGATGGTTGTTTGGATTGCTGGGTGGTTCAGTGGGTGGTTGGGTGGTTGGTTGGGTGGGTGGTTGGTTGAGTGGGTGGTTGGTTGAGTGGTGCCTGTCCAACCTGAACCCGAACCCGAACCACCGGCTAAGCGTTCTCGATAATAAATGGCTTTGGATCGCGGGAACGAGCAGCTGAAATGGGCGATTAATTCATTATTCAGTCGCATTCGCCGTCGGACTCATTATGCATTCACAATGTATCTGTTGCTTCTGTTCTTAGTGGAAAAATCACTGGCATTACCCGTAGCTGTATCTGTATCTGTATCTGTACTTTGTAACTGTATCTGTATCTTGAACCTTGTTTCTGTTTGTGCTTTGTGTATCTGGCCATTAACGATGGCGACTGTAATTTTCGGCAGCCTGAATTGCATTAACAGCTGGCAATCACTCCACCAAGTTTTAAAAACCAAAACAAGAAAAAAACAACAAAAATACGAGCAAACCATAGCAAATGCAAATACAATAATTAAAATTAATTAAAGCCCAAAGTAAATAAATAAATGGAGGCCGAAGTGCTGGCGACCCGCAAGCGAAAAGCCCTCATTTTCAATTCGCCCGCCGCTTCCGGCGACTTTAATTAATGTTGCAGCATTATTTACGAGTATTCGCCCGCCAAAGTTTGTCTTTCGCGCGGCCCTCGAAAACCGAAATTGAATTAATCAATTTAGGCAAACGTTCATTCCTTCGTTTGGTCAACTTTTTCGCCAGCGATCTTCGGCAAGAGTTTCTTGACAAGAGTTACAGATGAAGTGGTTACGCGGAAACTTTCCTGGCCAAGGAATGCGTTTGCAGTGCTTCATTTGGTTGGCCAAAGTCGATTACCCCGAAGTAAAGTTTTGCAGTCTTGCAACCTGTTGTTGTGGTTGCAAGAGGCGTGGATTCGTGGCCAAACTTCCAAAGCCAAAAATCACCAAAAGATGGAGTAAGGGGGAAAGGGGAAATTCCCCTAAGGCCTGCTCCTCCGGTTTCACTTTATGGCTCCTGATTTATTCACTCGGGTCGCAAGGCAAACAAACGGCGGCAAAGTCTTTAAATAATAAGGCAACGGTGTAAGCAGGTGGAAGTCGAAGGCGCCGGAGGTGCGCTAATTAAGTTGACAAATGTGGCCTTTCGTTGCCTTTTCCGCTCTTGTCTGATTCGGATTCCCCGAGTTCCCCGGGGAGCCATGCAAATTATTCACCCGGCAACTGTGGCTCCCCTTTTGCCTCCCGAAGATTGCCAAAAACTGTGGCAGCTCAATCAGTCCGCTTGCCCCGGAATGTATGCTACGTTTTTTTTTTTTGGTACCAACCTGAGCTATTTCTAGACAAATCTCGGCTGGAAAGTTTCTAGCATTTGATGAACTTAAGAGTGGGCAAACTGTTTAGAAAATTACCCAAAAGTAATTAAATATGAAAAGAGGCAAGGCGGTAAAGCATAGGAAAAAAAAAAGAATATTAAGTATACGTATTTCCAATGTAATTTTAAACTATTTATTATTTATTTTTTCTATTTTCCTAGTGATTTTTTTAGCTTTTGAAATTGATCTTAAAAATATTAAAAAAACTAGCCACTCGATTAAATAATAATCAAAGATCAATACAGCAGGAAATGTGATTTTTCATTAAGTATACGTATTCTACACTTGGTGATTTCGTACTTGTTTATGTATCTTACATTATTTAAAGATTTTTTTTAAAGTTCGTATGGGAAAAATTAATACCTTTTCTAACTTAGATCTTTTATTTGGACAAACTAATATTAAGTATACGCGTAAAATCAAGTATACGCGTAAAATCAAGTATACGCGTAAAATCAAGTATACGCGTAAAATCAAGTATACGCTTTTTCAATCTTAATTTTTGCAAATTTATTATGGTTTTTTTGTTATTTTTATTTGATTTTAATAATGTTTTACAATAACATTTTTTTTATATTATTTATAGAAAACTTATTTTTTTTAAATTTATTTTAGAATATATTTAAGCATTTTTTTTATGTTCTTTCTTTTTACATCACAGGGGACTTTTGTTGATTCTTCTTCTAACACATGAGCGATTCAAATTAAGTGCTTATTAAATTGAGCTTACAGTTTAGCCCCCTTTACTAAGACTCTTTGATAGCCAAACTGCCGTCGCTGTTTGTTGGTAATGATAATGCTTATGAGCCGACACCGTGTTCCCACAAGGAGTAATAATTGGGTGATTTGGCGCAATCAAGTCTCCGTTTTTGCGAGACAATTTAGGCCATTTGCTCGTTATTTGAGAAAGACAGATGTTACAAAGCTAAATCAAGGTCACTTTTTTGTAAATATTAATAATGGAAGACATCGATTGAGTTCTTCCATTAAAGATTACGATTGCGAAACAGGTCTTGATTCTTCGGGGTAACAGCATATCCACTCTGCGAATATCAACAAGTCCGCTGGCAACATGTTGCGGGGAATCGTGTGGTGAATTGCGGCGCCTCCTTTGGCAGCATGTTGCGGCCGCCCATCGCCGGCTGGTGGTCACAAAACCCGCCGCCGATTGCCAGTTAGTGCTTCGCGAGAATTGCGAGGCGCGACACATAAACGCGGAACGCGAAACGCGAACTTCAAATTGAAACTGAAACTGAAATCGGTTGTGAGCGAATTGAATCCCAAGCTAAGCCCACTCACACTCTCTTACTTTTTTGTTGCGTGAAGTTTTGACAAAGTGCCGCGGGTAACAAGTGCGATTCAAAGGGGATCCGATCCGAATTGGTGGTGATTAACCGAAGTTTCAGCCTCACGATTGACGCCTTCTATCGCTTCCTGCGCCAGGCGCTGCCGCTGGCCAGGGAGGCAGTGATCCCGCGGAATGGCAGCCAGGAGATCTTCCGCACCGATCTCACCTTCAACTACAGCGGGGTGGAGCTGGACTTGGGCCTGGACTTGGGCCTGACCACTGACACCACCACCACCACCACCACCACCACCCTGGCTCCACTAATTAGAACGGGAAATAGGAGCGTGGTGCGGGTGAGTGCGGATGTGCCCATTTGGGTGGTGCCCTGCTACTCGGCCATTCTGCTGTGTGCCGTCGTTGGCAATCTGCTGGTGGTGCTGACCCTCGTCCAGAACCGCCGCATGCGCACCATCACGAATGTCTTCCTGCTCAATTTGGCCATTTCGGACATCCTGCTGGGCGTCTTCTGCATGCCGGTCACCCTGGTTGGCACCCTCCTCCGGCACTTCATCTTCGGCGAGCTGCTCTGCAAGCTCATCCAGTTCGCACAGGGTGAGTCCTTCTCTATTGCCACATTCCATGCTCCATGTTTATGCGGTGGCCCCTTCATGCCGCCAAAATCAATTTATGTTGTGGACAAGAAAGTGCGTGCATAAACATTATGTATATTCTGAAATTGCCAACACAAAAGTTGATTGTAAATTAGAGTTTAAATATTGCGACTAGTCAGCAGCTTCTCGTAGTAAGTTTATGCGGTAGCAATTTCAGGACATAAATCACGTTATTTCTTGAAATCACTCACACACGAATTTTGAATAACAATAACTTTTCAAATATTGGGAATTGTATATTGTGAGCACTTGTAGTAGTCATTAAGTATAACAACTTTTTTCAATGAGCAAAAAGAAACTGTGCATTAGCACATTTCTTAAAAATTTGCAAACATGAGAGGATGACCTTGAAATTAGGCACAACCAACTTAACCCTTTATAAACAGGGCTGCCAACTTAATATAAACATGAAATAATTTAAGACTGTTTGACCATAATTCTTCAAGCAGTTAAAATGGTAAATATTAATATGTACGATTTGGTGGTGACAAAAGAACTAAAAACAATTTGAATTAAATTTGATATTGATATTGTGACTTAATTGTCATGTGTTAGGTTTTTTCGTAAATGCGATTTTTCGATTCCACGCAATCGAGACTTCCTGAATCTTATAGCATAGACTAGATAATAATAGTTAGTCAGTTGGACGGGTAAGTAGGCCTGTCCATTCATGTCTGGTCCGTTTCTAAATTCTAAGGTGCTGTTCCATCGCTCACAACTGTGAATCATCCATCCGGCAATCATTCAGTCCATCCGCCAACCCGAAACCGAATCCGAAACCGAATGGCGCCCAACCACCAACTCGACTTGGAGCGCATTCGCCAGCAGATCGTGTTGGCCAACATCCAGGAGCTGCTAAAGAAGATGACGCGGCGGTGCTTCAATGCCTGCGTGGCATTGCCAGGATGCGAGCTGCGCTCCGCGGAACGCGACTGCCTGTCCACGTGCATGGATCGGTTCATGGACTCGGTGAAGGTGGTGTCGTGCCAGTACTTCCGGCGCCGGAACCGCCAGCAGCAGCTCCGCTTGTCCACCTCCCCATCCGCATTCGTGTCTGCAACTGAGTCTGCAAGTGCATCTTCAAATGAATCTGGATTTGCATCTGCATCTGCAAATGAATCTGCAAATGCACCCTCAACTGAATCTGCAAATGCATCCTCATCTGAATCCCCATCCTCATCTGCATCTGCATCTTCATCTAGTTCTTCAAAAGAAGATGAGGGAACATGATGGTTGCTCCTCTTTCAAAAATGGATTAACCCACTGATAAAAGTCTGCAGATAACCCCGTTTGGTTTGGCCAACCGCAGATCCTTTGACCTCTCGGTTTGAATCCATTGCCCACCTGGGATTCGGATAAGGTCAACCAAAAAGTTGTTGAACAATTTTCACCCCTTTTTCCTTTGGGCAACTTCCCACATTGGTGGAAATGGAAATGGAAATGGAAATAGAAAAGGGAAAGTGCGGCGGGCAGTAGAAAGTGGATTTACTTCTGGCGGCTCCGCTCATGATGTCTTCGTGTTGGTCTTTAACAAATCCTAGTAGAGTCATTCGTAAATGGAGATTGACACTAAATAAAGCTGTCCTTTCTACTTCCCATGCGGCCATTAAGTGTTCTTTAAGGGAATTTTCGGGGGAACCATTTACACTCTGAAAAGGTAAAGCTTTTTAAATTCCTATAAATTCTGAAGAAATTCCCTCTACATAGAAACTATTTTCCAGAAAGCGTGAAATATAACAAATTTTTTGTATTACATTTGACTGTGTTGGTTATTTTTCTTAAAGTCTGTTTAAATGCTTATTAAACGCGGGTTAACATTTACGCAAAGTAACAGCTGCCAAGCTGGAGTCTTGCTGGAGTAATAGTTTAAATATGCATTAGTGTTGGCCACTGAAAAAATTATTTAATTTCATAATAATCAAGAACATATTTTGCTAGTAGAGCTGCGTTACGTATTAAAATGCTCTAAATTACATTGGATTTTTTTTCTAAAGTTAAAATAATATAAATATTCGTTTACACAAATAAATTAAATAACTATTTATTCTTTTTTCATTTATCTCCTATGTTATATTTATCTTAATAACAAATTTTCCAGTTTAAAAAAAAAATGACTTTACTTTTTAAACATATTTTTGTTTTAATTTATATAAAAATCCCTAGGGCGCTTCTTTATTTTAACTGAACTTTATCCAAATTTAATTCCGAAACTCAGAAAAGCATCACCATTCACTTTCGAGTGTGCTGTAACCAAATTGAAAAGTCGTTTTGCCTCGAAGTTTCTCTGGAATCGCTTCCTCAGTCCAAAATGGCAAATGTTCGTTGCGTAAGTTTTCAGATAACCATACTAAGTAGTTTGATTGCGAGCGCTTATGCACATCGCCTTGCCACTCAACGAAACTGTGTCTCCCATCGATTTTACGCACAATTTCCGCGCTTATTTATGGCCCAAATCATATTTCGCTGAAAAAAGTCGAGGGAGCTGTGGCAGGAGTACACTATGTGTATCTCAACGTGGCATCCGCCTGTCAATGGTCGTATTTTATGGTGGCCCGCATCTGCGTAACGACAGTCGGGGTTTCGGTTTTGGGTTCCTCAAGGGTTCAAAAGATTAAATAGGCCCACGCAGTCAACACAACAAAACACACACGAACATGTTTTCATACATGTGTGTGAGTCTGAAGTGAAAGTGAAAGTGAAGGGTAAGTGAAAGGGGAGACTCTTTAAAACCATTTAAAATCCCGTTGAGTCAAGTTCGGTCCTTGAGAAAGTCCGGCGAGAAAACAGACATTAATTTGTGTCCCCGGCAGAGACAGCAGCACACAAAATATCCATCCGATGAACTCGGTTCAGCCATCTGTGATACTTTGCCTTTGCCAGAGGCGTGATTTCATGTCCTGTTGCCCCAGATACGGTGGAAATGGTAGAAATGGGTGAAATGGCCCCGACACCTGTCACAAATGCCCATCAGTTTGGCCAGTTCATTTAGTAGCCGGTGAACAGGTGAGGGGCATTAATTTGCTTATTTAATCAAAGTGCATGTCAGAGGACATTCCGGTTATCCTTGGGCATATCTTTCTATTCTATTCTATTCTATTCTGGAGTGTGCCATACTCCCATTTAATCCCTGCTGATCCGCTGATTTCCCATGCAAATCACCCGGAATGTTCACTTTGGCATTCTGTTGCCAATTTCCATTTGCCAGTCGATGGAGTCATCGATCCTGAGCCTTCCTAAGCATTTGCTTTTCAGCATCGCAATATTTGTGAGTGGAATATGAATCCGCGCAGTTTCCCCCCTTTAGCGCCTTCTTGGTAAAAAAAAAAAAAACAAAAATGAAGAGGAGGATGTTTCCTGTTTCCTGGCGTGTGTTTTTAGACATGCCGGTAATGCTCTCGGCATCTTGGCCCGCTTTTGGCCTGTCCGCCCCCGCACTAACTTATTAACAACATAATAACAATGGCAGGCAAACAAGTTGGAGTGCTCAACTCAACTCGCAAACACGCATTCCACGCACTCACATACATGCCAATTTGTTGGGTGAAGCACTCTGTGTTTTCTCAGCCACCCCCTCTTCCCACCCCCTCTTCCCACCCCCTTTTCCCACCCCCTTTTCCCCCCCCTTTCCCCAAGGACACCCCATCTGTTGCACGGGGCGTCGACTTGGCTCGTAAATCTGAAAATGTCATCCCTCGACTGCGGCGCCAATTTATGGCCATCATCACTTCAAGGTGCAGCTCGGAATTGCAGTGTCCCTTTGCTCCTTTTTGGGTTCTACATCCTGGTGTCCTAGTGTCCTGGTGTCCTGGCTTCCTGGCTTCCTGGCTTCTTCCTTGGGGCAATGTGACCACACCATTTGATTTATTGCCGTAATTATGCATTTGTGGCCAGTGGCATTTACTCGGCTTTCCACTCACATCATGGATTTCATCATCATCATCTTGCCAGAGTTTTCCTGGCAATGCTCATTAATTATGCAAATTCCAATCGAAGGACGACTCCTGCAAATCCATGTGGGCAATAGGTCACCACATGTTGGAATGACCTTTGACATTGCTAAGGGAGAGTAGTTTCAATTCAATCGTTTCATGCGAACTGTTGTCCGATTTTCCAAGAAACAATTTCTAGTTAGGTCTATACTCGTATATTGTGATTGATTACAATAATAATTTGCATTCTTATTGTGTATGCAATTATTGGAATTATTTAGAATTTTAGTATTCATATATATTTATTTCATATATTCATATATATCATGTATTTATTTTATTTATTTCTATATTCTTATTATTTAGTGTTTTTGGTTTGTTATTTTTCGGTGACCAATTTTGTGGCTTGTTGAATTATGTGAGGAAAATAAAGCAAAACGGATTTGTCTAATTAACTACGGTAATGCATTTTGGAAACTGTCAAAGTTGGTAATTCGATTTGTTTTTGGCTAATCAAAGACCTCATGATTATGTATGAATGTTCCTGGCAATTAAGAATGTTTTAATAATTCTGATCGGAGATTGCAAAATGTCATTTTGGATAAACTTACCATATTTAAAATGGATTTTGTCTTAATGAAACTCTTTAACATTTTTGCCTAAAATGTAACTTAAATGTTAAGGATGTGCCTTTAAACCGGAATCCAATTAACATAGTTTGAAGAGCAATTAAGATGCTTTAAGCAGTTAAACCTATTAACAAAAGAGGAAAAGGTCTATGTAAAGATTGTGCTTCCCACTTTGTTCAGGCAAATCCATTTAAAAACGACATTTCACGTCCGGGGAAAAAAGGGTCAAATTGACAGCATTTATGGCTTCAAGCCGTTCCATTTTGTTCCACTTGCCTTTTATTGCGGAGGTCGAAGGTCACGTTCCCATTGAGGTCTTTCTCTCTCGACCTGGCTGCACTTGTTGCCCCTTTCGGAATTCGGAATTTGGAATTCGGCCTTGAACCCTGACCTGTGGATACAGTGGATTCTCAACCGCCTTGTCCAACTGCCTGACAGCTCAGCAAATTAATGATTAATTGAATTTCCTCTCGGCCGGCTGGCTTTTTTTTTTTTTTGCTAACCACCTTGTTTTTATTGCCGCGCTTTTCCCAGCCACAGAAAAATCAGAGCTACGCAGACGAAATCATTAATTAGGCGGCGGAGAAAAGAGTCTTAGGTCTTGAGCTCTGAGTCTTGAGTCTTGAGTTTGCCACAGATGCCGCAATGCAATTCTTGCCACTTTTTCAAGGGGCAAAAGCATGGTTGTAATGAGCAGATTTATGCACACACACACACGCACACACATACACACATACTCAAGAAACTTGGCCAAATGGCATAAGTGGAAAAGCGAATTGAAATAAAAGCTAACCACTCCTTTTCTCCTCCTTCGCCTCATTTCCAACTTATTTATTTATTTCGTTTTGTGGGTGGAAAAGTGGGGTTGACCTCCCATGTTATTTGGCTCGAAAGTTTGCTGAGAAAATGCCAAGAAAGTGCCTTATTTGCACGGGGGTAGCAATTACTCGAAATTATGTGTGTGCTCAACATGTTCTGTGGTTTTTTCCCCCGCTTAATGAGAGTTAACTGGGCGAGAACTCCAAGAATTCCAGAAGCAAGCAATGAATATGAATGCGATTGCGATTGCGAATGCGAATGCGAATGCGGCACTCAACTTAATCCCACTCAATCGTAATGAACTGATTGTCCCCTCTGTTTGTCCACAGATCATGCAACTTTATGTCCACAGACCTTCGCACTCTCCATCTGAATGTGAAAATCGCTTTACCACACAGGGAAATTGATTCCATTCCAAACAGACAATTGAAATGGCTATTGATTTTCAATTATTTAAATATTTCTGCAACTAGGGGAAAAGCATCTGCTGCCATTGATGACCCCTGCTGTACTTCATCATTGTTTCTGGCGCAAAAAAAAAAACAAATATAAAAACACCATAAAACATTGTTTTCACTTGGCAATTTGCATACTGCGAGGGGAGGGGAAAAAACTGAAGTGCCAAATGAAAATGTGTCTAATAAACATTTTTTCTGCGGTTCACCATCCTTGATATGGAAAATACAAGCTTTAATTTTCAATTTCTTATTGATTTCGAGGGTAAAGCATATATTTGTCAAGATTATAATCACACCTGTCACCCATTAAGCGGAATGCACGAAAACCATTAAAAACCAGGCAAATTAAATCGTATTTAATTCCGCTTTTTGCGTGCGATGGTTGTTCGTGTGTGTGTGTGCGTGTTTGTGTGTGTGCGAGGGCCAAATGAAATATACTTTTGAGCTGAATTAATGAGTCTGAGGGAAGGGAAATGTGGGAAAAAAGGAAAAAGTGGGTGGTAACATCTTAAAGGGCGAACAACACGGCACAAAGGGAATACAAATGGAAGGTGATTTTTCAGCTCCTTTTCGCCTCAGAGGATTTCCACTTCTCCCTTTTCCTTTTCCCTTGGAATAAAAAAAAACCATTTTAGGCGACCATAAAGTGCGGTTGACAGGCTCTAATGTGAAATTAACATGGCTTATATGCAACATGGCTCGTTGGGAAATGCCATTGCATTGATGTCAACCGCACACATAACTTTTGTTTTTTTTTCTTTAT